TTTGCAGGGTACTGCAGGAGGGGACAAAGGCAGCCTTCTGACAGCAGGGGATCTCCTGCCCAGCTGACAGCCACTTGCCAGTTATCATTACAGTCCACGTCCATAACTTGCACCAGTTGCTGGCAGCCTTGTCCCACAGTGATATTAATACCCAGTGAGTCAGGAGCTTTCTGCTGGCACCTCCCAAGGCATGTTTTGTACTAAGGGGGTGAGTCCAGGCCTGCTTCGAGCCACCCCTTCCTTACAGCGCTGCAGAAGGGTTACCCCAGCTCAGAGGCTCTGTTCCCTGGACCAGGGTCTTGGTTCTCTCTCTATGCACAAGTTCCATACACTTGGAGCATCAGGCTCCACTGAGATGCTTTGGGACTGAAGCCATCCTGCTGCTGCAGAGAGACGGATAAACCTGAGATTTGCTGCACTGCCCATGCCCCGGCAGCGCATTCTCCTCCTTTGACAACAGTTCTGCACAGTGGGCGTCAGATTCTGGCTTCAGAAAGCAACAGGGCAACCGGGGGAGCGGGGGTGAAGGGGGCGGGTTCTGCCCTACTGCCATCAATGCAGCCCTACCCCCACAGTGAGGCATCAAGGTGCCAATGCACAGCTCCAACATTTTGGCTAAGCCAGGACAGGGTTCTCAGCCAAGATTTTTGTCCTGTAAAGCCCTCAACACACCTGTGCGCACGTGGCTGTGTCTGGATTTTCACACACACCTGCGAAGGTAGCTAGCATCACAGAACCACCTGCCCAGAGACGCCGGGTTGGGGTTTTCCTGTCCCAAACACACCCTGCAAAGGCTGACGGGACGCTGCACCTCAATGATAAGCAATTTAAACCACATGCACCCTGCTGATATCACATTATCAGAGGGGATCGACAGAGGCTGGCCACTAACAGCCTGGGGAGAGGGCTGTATTGACGCTGTGAACGGGAAGTGCCGACAATGGGCGATCATGCATTGCCAAGTATGATCATCTTCCATGGGAGTTGTGGACCCTCAGGTGGCTGATAAGGCCAATCCTTGAACTACAAGTTCTGTTACACTGAGGACAGATGTTTCCAGGAACAGCAGAAGGCTGCTGCCCATGACTAGAAGCCAGTCTCCCCCTCCTCCTGCGCCTCTTCTCCTCCTCAACTTGTTGGCTTTCTGCACTTTGGGCTTGCCCGCCAATGCATAGGACTGGTCTCCATTTTGAGCAGTCCTGGGTGAATGTCTCCCAAGCATCGATATCAACGTCACCCTTCTTTAAAGTTATCCTTTAGCAAGTCCTTACAGCGCTTCTGTTGTCCTCCCAGGTTACGGGATTCTTTCTGCTGAGAAAACTGGGCCTGTTCTGGGAGGCAATGGTCTGGCTTCTGAACAACACAAAGTTGCTGACAGATGATGATCATTGTCTCAATAATGGTGGTCTTTGTCTCTTCCAGAGCACTGATGCTAGTGTGTCTGTCTTTCCATTTGAACGTGGAGACAGCGTTGGTGATACTTCAAGGATTTTCAAGTGATGTTTGTAAGTTGTCCAGGTTTCAGACCCATACAAAATTGTTGGGAGAATGACGCCTTGATAGACAGTAAGCTTGGTGTCTTGTTTGAATGTCATGATCTTCAAAACCCTTGTGCCATAAACGAGCAAAGGCACAGCTCAGACGATATTGGATTTCTACATCAATATCTGCTGTGGATGAAAGATAACTTCTAAAGGTAGAAAAAATGATTGACATTCTCCAGTGCCCCTCCATTGATTTTAACAGACGGGGCGCATGGTACCTTATTTGGAGAGGGCTGATGGAGCACTTTAGTTTTCTTGACCTTGAGGGTGAGACCAAGACACATATAGGCATCAGAAAAAACATTCAAGATGCCTAAAGGTCTCTCAGAGTGAGCAAAAACTTCATTGTCATCAGCAGACTGAAGTTCCACGACAGATGCGATGGGAATCTTACTCTTAGCTTTCAGCCTGCTAAGCCTAAACAGCTTTTCATCCGTTCCGTAGATGATTCCAACGCCAGCTGGGAGCTTCCCAGAAATTAGGTCGAAAAGGACAGCAATAAAGACCACAAACATGGTTGAGGCGATGATACAGCCCTGTTTGAAAGGTTCACTCTGGGAGACCGTGCTGCTAGAACAGTCACTTCCATGTTGTCATGAAGCAACTTTAGGACACTGACATATTTATCAGGACATCCAAACGTACAGTCCAAAGGGCACCACGATTCACTGAGTCAGAGGCTTTAGTTAGATCAATAAAAGCCATGTACAATGGTCGGTTTTGCTCCCGACACTTCTGTTGCAGCTGCCGTGCAATGAAGCTTCTATCTGCAGTTCTGCGACATGGTCGGAAAGCACTCTGGTAAAATTTCTTCTGATAGGGGCAGAAGACGGATTGCAAGGACCAATGCCAAAACTTTGCCTGCAACAGCAAGGAGGGAGATACCACGACAGTTTCCAAAGTCTGTTTTATCCCCTTTTTAAAAGAGGGTAATAATCAAGGCATCTCTCATTTTACTGAGTATCTCCTCCTTTATTGAGATTTTAAGGCTAAGCAGCCACATTAACTCTGGTCCACCATCTTTAAAGATTTCAGCGGGGATCCCATTTTGACCTCCTGCTTTGTTGTTCTTCATCTGCTTGATGACACTGTATACCTCATACAAATCGGGAGGGTCTCCAAGCTCATCCCTAGAAGGTCATTGGGGGATTTGCTCAAGAACTTCATCAAGAAGATCTTCAAAATGTTATTTCCAGCAAAAACCAATGGCTTCATTGTCCTTCAAAAGCGAGGTTCCATCCTTTTGAGTGAAGGGGGTTCAAGCCACAACAAGGTGGCCATTAACAGCCTTCATAGCACAAAAGAAACCACTTGTATTATGGGTATCCACAAAACGTTGGAGTTCTTGCACTCTCAGTCCCCCAGTTGTTCTTGAGTTCTCTGGTTTTATGTTGGACTTCTGCCTTGCATGGTGATTTATATCTTTGTCTTGCAATTTATATCATTTTGCCAAGCACAAAGTGCCAGGTGCAGTTAGTCAGGCGGAGCCTTCATAGCACAAAAGAAACCACTTGTATTATGGGTATCCACAAAACGTTGGAGTTCTTGCACTCTCAGTCCCCCAGTTGTTCTTGAGTTCTCTGGTTTTATGTTGGACTTCTGCCTTGCATGGTGATTTATATCTTTGTCTTGCAATTTATATCATTTTGCCAAGCACAAAGTGCCAGGTGCAGTTAGTCAGGCGGGCACTCAGTATCCACAGCAGATCCCAAGAGAGCCTCCAAAAACCACAAATCAGATAAGGATCCAAGGTGCCAGGCCAGGTTTATTGCTGTCATAACTGTCATTGGCTACTGAACCACTATGCATACGTATCCCATAACAATGAAATGACTCAATGAGTGGGAAATTTCCATTGCCACCTAGGTCATCCAAAGACTGCCCCCCCAAGACACCACTTTATATACAGATACAAACAACTTACATGTCAGGTTGCCTCCCTCTGACACTTCTTAGATACCACTCATCACCTCGTGGTTTGATTAGATCATCTCCCATCGTGCTGTCATTTTAGACCCTGTCCTGAACCTGGCTCTGTATCTGTGTGGAGTGGGTACTAAGGTCTGTCTTAGCGAGCTGGTGGTACCATATATTTTCAACTTATGACCAGTACCAATTATTGTTCTACACCTGGGCCTATTACCAATTAGTGTTTTGCACCCTCAGCCCTGTTCGTGCCAAGTTCTGTGAGCTGGGGCCTGCTGCCTGCTCACAGCTTAGCTTTGCTTTGTGTTACCCATGGTTTGTCCACTGTTCGCTAGGCCTCAGGCTTCAAACCAGGCCTGTGCTACATGGGCTTTTGTTTCAGGGCTTCATCTTACTACACCATTCTCATCTCATTGATGAGCTACTCGATTTCAACATTGTTCTCAAACCAGTCTTGATGCTGTCTGGTGTAGAAGCTGCCAATGGTTTCCTCACAGGTAGATAATTGCTGCTTTCAGCTGGCTTCAATGTTCCTCAATCTCTTCTGGAAACTCTGATAGAAACTTTTCTTCTAAGACAGCATGGAAGTGGTCACGCTTAATGGGGTCCTTCAGCTCTTGAACCGTCAGCTTGCCCGATCTGCTTCTTTTGCAGCCTCCCTTTGGGAGCCATCTTAATGTTCATTGTGGATCGAATAAGGCAATGACCAGTCCAGCAGTAATCAGCACTTGGCACTGCTCGTGAGAAGTACATCACTCCAATCTCGAGCATGAACTAGGCACAGTCAAGAAGGTGCCAATGCTTTGAACATTGGGGTCTCCAAGCTGTTTTGAACATGTCCGTCTGTCGAAAAAGGGTGTTCGTGATGCTAAGTTCATGTTCAGCACACTTGGTCAGGAGCAGGATTCCATTTGAGTTGCTTTTGCCAACTCCTTCTTTCCCAATTGTTCCTTTCCACAGGTCTGAGTCTTGTCCAACATGTGCATTGAAATCCCCAGAAGAATGATCTGATCTTCTTTAGGGATCTCTGATAAAATGGTTTCCAGCTGAGAGTAGAAACGTTCCTTTACATCCTCATTGGCATCCATTGTTGGTGCCTAGACACTCACAATAGTTTCCTGTTGGAGCCTCAATCGGAGCGTCATAAGCCGCTCATTGATGCCAACTGGCAGCTTAGAGAGGCACCTAACGAGCAAAGCCTATTCCATGCAATCGAGGTTCAGCTAAAGATCTTCCCTTCCAGAAGTAGCTGTATCCTCCTTTCTCCGCCTCACCTGACCTTCAGCAGCTCTTCTAGTTTTGGACAAGACAGCAATAAAGACAAGACAGCAATTGAATCAGTTAAACCAATTCAATTCATGAGCAATGACAGCTGAGCTGTCCATCAGGGTATGTACGTTCCGGGTTCCAAAGCTGAAAAGTTTCTTACATTTTCATCTGCTGGGGTGCTGATCCTGCTGGATGCAACTATCCAGTCAGGAGGAAAAGAGGCAAGACTATTTTTAGGGCACTTTTTCTAGCTTCCTCCTCACACAGGGTGAACAGAGTGGGTAAAGACTGCTCAGTCATTGGTTGACCTGCCTCGAGCAAGACAACTGAATCGCACCTCCACTGCCTGTGTGTCGGTCTGTGACTAGGAACCTCCAGATCTCACTTTCCTGTTCCCATTGCTACTCGCCAATTGTCACCAGACTTCTGACTTGTGCAGGTATTGTTTTCCCAAAAACTGGAAGATGCCTGTGCGGGACTCCTTTTAAAGTGGGGAAACTGGTGCACAACAGTCATCACAGTGTCCTTGACAGACAGAGGGCTTGAAACCAGTGGCATGGGCACCACGACGACTGGAGATCCTCTATCTGCTGCAGCCTTCATCCGCCTTCACAGCCACTGTAACATTACACAAGTTTCAATTCCATTGTGAGGTATCCTCCCTCTGCTCTGCCGTTGAGGACTTCTTGGATCCCACTTTGGAACCTCACTCTTGGCCGCTCTACCATAGGTGACCCTGAGGGAGCCCGTGACTCCAGGCAGCATTGCTGTTGGGGGTTATTGGAACACACAAGCCTCTCCACCACTACAAGGTGATGATTCATGGAGCCATACAGCCTGGGTAAAACCAGGGGGAGAAAGACCTCCCTGCCTTCCAAGACATGAAGCAAGGTATGACCAGAACCGAGGGCAGGCCCAATTACATAGATACCAGCCCAGGATGGGAAGCCCACGGGAAGGGATGAACAGTCTAAGGTCCTCCTGATATTTGGAACAAGGTCTGATGATACAAGACAAGGACAGAGGCTATCACTGGCACCCATTACTAGGCACAAGATATCAGAGCTCTTGCAAGCTGAGAACAAGGGGTCCTTGCACCATGGGCCATCCCTGGAACTGAATACAGATGAGAAACATGCTCAGGTAAAAATCTTGCACCAAAAACAAGAAGGGAAGCTGGTATGTTGCCCTTTTGTGATAGCCCTGCTTGAGGCTGGGAGAAGCAAGCGGGCAGAGAGACCATCTAGACAGATACACGTGCTAGAACACTGGCTGTATCTAGATTGATACACGTGCTCACTTGTATTTTGCCTGTTCTCTTTTCTGACTTGATTGTTTTTCCTTGGCACTGCTTACTGTGCCCTTTTGTTCATAAATGGGCCTTACTCTTGCAAGGCGACTTAGCACTGTTTTAAACAGCAGGTGCAGCCACCCCTGTGAAGTTAAACTGAGGGTATCTTTTAAGAAGCAGAGGAACAGCATTTTTTGAACTGGCCAGGAAAGGGCTGGATGTTGTTACCCACCAGCCCTGTGATTCTTGGGAAACAAGAACATGGTCACCTGTCAGCCTTGTGCTCTTGGGGAGCCAGGGAGTGACATTCATGGAAAACCATTCCCCTCCCTCAGGCCTCTGCTAGAATCAAAGACAAAGCAATGAAAAGGCCGAGGAAGACACACCTAAACTGCTTCAGACCAGGGTGATAAAATTAAGGAAACACCCCAGCCTCATTTGCATTAAAGATGGAACAGAGGGACATCTCATTAGCATACAGAATGGAAAGCAGCTCTTCCAAGGCAGGAACCGCAGTGAACTATGGGACACCGAAAGCAGAGAAGCACTGCCTGATGGGAAATCCCTGCTCCAGATGCTAATGAACCTAGGCCTGCTCACACCCAAATTAGTCATTATCAGACCAATTCTAGTAATGATCCTATTGACATCTAAAATACTGAAACTGCCTAGTTGCATTGTGAGCTCGTTCAAGGAACATCACCCATAACCAGGGGTGATCAGTCTCTATTGTCTCTCCTCTTTCTCTTTGAACTATCCCTATAAAAACTCCTCTCCTTGCCCCAAGAAAACTGTTCTGATACCTGGACTTAAACTGCATCAGTTCCATTGAGACTTCTTCATCTCCTGTCTGATCGTGCTGGGGGCTCTGTCCTCCTTCTCTCCTGCCCTCTGGACCCCCGGCTACCATCATCATCTGGGAACCCCGATCAGTGCAAGCTCCGTGGAGTGGTGAGGTCTCTCTCTCTCTCTCTCTCTCTCAACTATCTCTCTAAGCACAGCCTCCTGACCCTGCCCTGTGTAAACTGTTATATGGTTACCTAACATTTGTAATCAGTTTCAATTTAGATTTAATATTGTAATTGTTAGATTTAATATTGTAACTGTTTGATATCTATTCACTACTCAGAAATAAATCACTTTCATTGTTAAGCTGGTTGCTTCTCTCTCTTTCTTTCTCTTTTGCTCACTCTTCCTTAAGGGGTGTTGTTTTGGCTTCCCCATTCGCTCTGCAACAACGCTTCTTGTACCCAAGCAAAAGATCCCTGTAGTGCCCAAAATCCTGTGGGGTTTGCTCATCGTGTGGTTTACCTGTGAATGACTGTGGTGTGAAAGTGGGGATAGGGGGTGCTGAACCTGGGGGCTTATGAGGATGGCAGCTTAAAGTGCTGTTTAATCCAGCCCACGGAGTCCAAAGGCACATGAGGGTGCAGTGTGGCATTGCTGTGAAACCCAGCCAGCTGAGTCCAGGGACATATGAGGGGGTCAGCTTGTGAGTGCTGAGTACCCAGTCCTCTCAGACGTGCTCTGATTAGTGGGTGTGAGTGTCTGTGTGTGTTGCTAAGGTGGGAAGAACCCCATCCTGAGGAACCTAGTTCCTGCAGGAGAGCTCCAGTGGGAGGGGGAATTGGCAGCAGGGAGAATTCAGCTCCATATGAAAGCCCAAGTAAGCACCAAGAGCACACTGATAGAACTGTCAACTTTCCCCCAGTCCCATAAGGGTAACCCTGATAAATGAGCATACCCCAAAGTATTGGGCAAATCTGGTAACTATGTGGCAGAGAAGTCTCCGGGGGGAATAGGGATGGGGAATGCATTGGGGTCAGCTTGCTGGTGGGGCTGCAGACAGGCTGCTGAGCCAGGGCTGCCTAGCACACACACGCGGTGTGACCTGTAGGCTAGCTATGGACATCCCAGGCTGCATGGGGAGCAAAGATACCCGGGTTACAGGGTAAGTGGGGACAGACCGTGACTGGACCAGCACCCAACCCCCAACACCACCCACATGATCACCCTGCCCTACAAGGCACAGGCTCTGTGGCTGTCTTAGAATGAATCAGCCACTGGGCATAGTGTAGCTGTGGGGTGGGATTGTCTTTCAGGGCTTGGCTGGGGGGGAAGCTGGAATCTCAGCATAGATGGCTGGGGGGTGCCCGCCCTGCCATCTGGTATCACCAGTGCTCTCCAGGCAGACCCACAGGGGTATAGAACCCACCCTGCTTCTCGGTTTCCACCTTCGTAGGCAGCATGGTGACAGGAGCCAGGAACCCTGTGGAGAAAGGTCGGGCATCAGAGAGCGAGCTACAGAGACACAGGCATGGAGAGCAGGGTGGGCGGCTGATGGGTTATAGCTGGGGGAAACTGGGAGTCAGGACTCCTGGGTACTATCTTGGCTCAGGGGGCAAGGAGGGGGCAATAAAACCCTGGTCTCCTGATCTAACCTCCCTCTAAGCTCCACAACCTCCTGTTAAGCCCCACCAGGGGGCTCAGGGCTGCAGTGGAGAGAGATGCCTCTCCCCAGCCCCGAAGCTGCCACAGTCGGGGGAGAGGTGACCCTCCCCCAGCCCCAGCCCAGAGCTGCTGCAGCCAGGGCAGTTCTGTGCTGGGCTGGCAGGGAAGCAGTAAGTAGCAGGTCCCGGGGGGAGGCTCTACACCAGCTGCGCATTCCCACTGGCTGGTTCTTGTGGTGCACAGGGGTGAGAGCAGTGCACATGGTGCACAGTGGAGCCTCATGCCCCTCCCATCCCCTGGAGCTGGACATGCTGGCTGCTTCTGGGGCCCAGAGGGGTGCCCCAAGAGGCATGCACCAGGCCTGCCTTAGCACCACAGGCCAGGAACCACCCAGGTAAGCCCAAGCCCCAGCCCCCCACCTGACCCCTCCCAACCCAGACTACCACCTGGACCCCAAATCTCTCATTCCTGGCCCCACCCCCAGACCGGAGCCTGTATCCTCTCCTGCACTCCAAGCCCAGGCCTCAGCCCCTCCCCAAATTCCTCATTCCCAAGCCCACTCCAGAGCCCACATCCTCGCTGGAGACTTCACCCCCTCCTGTACCCCAACTACCTGCCCCAGCCCAAAGCCCCCAATTACACCTCCTCAGCCTTATCACTGCCACACACTGTCCCTGTGTAGAATGACTTGTGTGACTGAGTGGGGAAGTGCAAAGAGGGTGCACGCACAGAGGAGGCACTCAGCGTCCCTGGGTGTTACTGGTTTAACAAGGGGAGAAGAGGGAGTTTGTTGTTACAGGGGACAGTACAGGAGACCCCAGTGACTGGCAGGCCCAGCTCGGAGGGCAGAGCCAGGTCTGGCCAGTGGGAGGATAATGGGTTGCAGAAACAAGACCTGGGTGACCTGCTCAGCTTGTTCCAGCATGGTGGGGAGTGGGGAGCTGGGGGGAGAGAGAATAAAGAATGGAGAAGAGAGCAGAGGGGCCCAGGCAACCCTATTTTTCTGGACTGAAGACAAAGGCTGCGGAGGGGACTCAGCTGGAAGAAGGGAGCTTCTGAACTGGAAAGGGAGAGTTTAGGCAGAGCCCACTCAGCTGCAGGGGAGACTCAGACATGCTGGGCTGAGAGGGGCCAGGCCTACAGGCCTGAGGGTCCCTTTGTTGTGTTCAATAAACCCTCCTGTTTTACACTGAGAGTTGCTTTGGTCTGGAGAACAGGGCTGAACTATTCCCTTTGGGAGTGGAGGCCCTGGGGGCCTACAGCAGAGACAGGTCTGCTGAAGGCCTCTAGAATCACTGTCCCAGGAGACAGAGGGGCAGACCCCAGGGAGAGAGAGGACTTGCAGATAAAGGGCTGTCACACTGGAGTGGGTTCTGCCCAGGGACGGTATGGGCCAAGTGTGGGCGTGACCTGTGAGTGTGTGCCATAATTGTCTCCTCCATATGGTGCATATAACAAAAGTAATTCCACACACAGACATAAAACATTGGAGGGAACACTGGTCCTGACCCTTTCATGATGAATCCAGTTGCCAGATTTTTCAAAAACGACAAACTTCATTGGCCCTCAGAAGCCCCAGATAGGTCAGAGCCAGCCTGGTGTGCTCAACACCTGAGGAACAGCAGCAAGGATGGACTAGCTTTTCTATGGCCTGTTTTTCTAGCCGCTGGGCAAAGCCACACAGAGAAACTGAAATGGGCCAAGTGCAGAGTAAGCCAAGTTCTCCAGCAGATGCACTGAAGTGGACAAAACCTCAGGGAAAGGTGCAAGCCCAAAGCCAAACAGAGTGGGAGGGAAGGGGGCTGGATCTTGCAGATGCTTTTCTGCCTCAGGACTGCTCAAACCCTGGACAATCGTCAGGATTTCAGGGCTTCTGGCTCCTTGCAGTTGGCACCACTACCTTTTTTCATTTGGGGCACATTTCCTTGGGGAACGTGAGCCAGCTACCAAAAGGAACAGCAGAGCCAGAACTGGCCAAGCTTGCAGTGGGGGACAGTGCTGCAATGACCCACCCCCTCCT